ATAGCGGGGGCGGGCCGGAGCGGCATGTTGATGAGGATGTGGAGCTGGAAGCAGGAGTAGACTCTCTGTGCCGGCCTGACTGGAGAGAGGCGCGCACTGTTCCCACGCTCCTCTCCTGCGGGTCCTCCCTCGCCGCGCTGATGACGTGTGTGCGCACGGCACGCACGCCTTACCAGCAGCCCCTGCGCTCAGAAAGGGGCGGCGGCGATACAGTAAGTGAGTGTGGGCGGGGGAGATCACACGTCCCCCCCCCCCGTTCCTCCAGCACAGATTCTTTCATCCTCGGCGGCCGTGCAGGAGCCGAGGATGAATCGCATGAAATCCTGTGCGTGTCACCCCAAATGGCTACGCGTGTCAGCACTGACACGCGTGTCATAGGTTTGCCATCACTGATTTAGTAGCATTTAGAACAAAGGAGGATAATTAACTTTCTCAAGGAACCACATGAGAAACGTGGACTGTGGTGGAGGGCCAACAATGCTGTCCTGCTGCACCCCCAATGCCCTGCCAAGGCCCTATTGCCAATGCCAGGGGCCTGACAGGGGCAATGGAAGGGCCAGATGTGGCCCGTGGACCATAAAATACCTAGCACAGCTTCCCACCCCAACACACCTATTAACCTAAGCACAATAGGCATGTGTATCTAGTCACACATTTGATATGGAGTTCCTCCCCCCAATCCCAGGGACATGTAGGGATCAGTTTTGTAGACACTCATTCAAAAGAATCCACACCTGCCAAGCGATGCTGTGTTTGGAAGATACAGTGCTATTCGAACGGGAAGGGGGTAATGCCCTTTTAGGAGATGACAGTTCTTTTTCATGGTTACCCATCCCTGGGAAGACTGTCTTCTCTTGCCATGAACTAAAGAAGCATCAGCAATGCACTTTTTGGGAATGTGTCTTCATCTCCAGATCATCACCTTCAGAGGGCTGTGGCTATGAGAAAAGAAAAAAAAAGACAAATTAGTACTCAGACATCCTGATTAAAATAACTCCCAATGAAATGGTATCACCCATATGGTGCAGTGGTCAAAGCATTTCAGTTATATTAGGTGTAAAATTCTATTTTCTTATCAGATAGTATCTGTATTTCTTAATCACAACTACTTTCTTTTTGCTTTGCTTCTTTATTCCACAAATTATAGCCTTTTTTCACAAATAATTCCTTGCCCATAACTCAGGTTTTTAAAGTGTCCCTTCAATGATTTATATAGATGTGATCCTAAAATCATAGACAAAAATTGGAATATAGATGCTTTTTAAAATCCTCTTTTGCAAATCATAGTGCAAAATCTAAAGGTGACAGATTTCCTCCTCTTTCAAAGCACAACCTGATGGAGGCTTACTAAGAAATCAATCTCATGTCCATTTGTACTGTCTCACAAAACAGGATACAGAGTTGTTTTCCTTTCCAGGATCTGCTATGAAGGAAACAAACCATTGATCCAAAATCAAGGAAAAATTCCAGATTGTGACCTTTGTTTTGCTGTATCCTGCCATGTCTGTAAGGATTTATCCAGAGTATTAGCCACAATCAAGCTCTCCTCTTTGGCCAACAGCCTGCCTGAAAAAGATACCACAAAGCCTTACTCCCTATCATGCTGACTTAGTCTTAGCTTTGTCTTACATTGCAGTCCCCTCTAAAAGATCTCAGCCTCCTAATTTCTGACATTCTAGAAACAAGGCAGTGATTTCATGATCTAAATCCTTAGACATTGGATAATCTTGCTTTCAACTTTTGCACAGCAATATGCAGAAACTGCTCTTACTCTCATACACAAAAAATGATCGATCCCCTCCCCTTTGAGCCTTGTTTCTACTTTCATTATTTTCCTCCATCCCTATCCAAAGCACAAACGGTGAACAGAAGCATCACAGGCACTAAGCTTGGTTTTTCCTCTTGCAGAGCTTGTGGTGACTGCAAAATGTAGATTCCTCTGTTTTTCTCTTCCTGCTGCAAAATTTAGCATATAAGCATAAGGTGTTTTTTTCCTCCTAGTGAAGAGAGAACAATTAGCATTTAACAAGAGGAAGAAACCACCCTGGTATTGCTATGACTGGTTCACCTAATCCTCCTGTGGATAGAGGCTCAGGTGGCTCCTCTTAAACAAAACTGAACCCCATTTCTACCCCTGGCCCTCTGACCTGTCTCACCTGTACAATTGTCAACACTTTTCTGGTTCTGTTGCAGCAGCTATTCAGTTACACCCTTTATGCATCAATCCTCCCTTAGCAAACAGGTTCTCAGTTTGTCACCTGATCTTATGTGTATTTACCCAAATGTAAGCTGCCCTGAATTCAATTGAAACAGTTCATGCAGAACTCTGCAGCTTTAACGTCTCAGTCCTTCTCTGTTTCCTGCTGAAGACAGAAACAAAGAGGAGAAAGGGAATACATCTTGCCTAAGTTCTTGGTTGTTGTTTCTTAAGGTCATTTGAGTTCCCTGAAGTAGAAAAGGGAATCTTACAAAGGGAGGTACTGGATGTAATTTCACATAACAGTAAACTGTGGTTCCCTTTACAGAAATGAGCCTTAGGTGAACTCTATCATAAATCCTGAAGCATGATACAAGATAGAAGAGTTTCCATTGTTTAACCAGAGTTCACCAGTCTATTTGGATGCATTGATCTACCATTTATGTCAGATCTGCCGTCCACCCCCTTCATCTTCACTTTGCATTGCTGGCATCCAGCCATAAAAAGGGAGAGGGGGGAAATGGGGAGGAAACACCGAGAAAGGGATGATAGGAACCAGAGGTGCCAATCCAAAACAACAGACAAGAGATCCAAGGATATAAGTGTGAGAATAATGCTGGCCCCTGATTAAATGCAAACAAAACTGAAAACTTTTAATCTTTCTATGGGGGTACGAAGGATGGAAAATATTGAATCCTAAAGTCTGCTTGAGTACATTCCTTCAAATGACCTCTTCTATGTAAGCTGTCAATGTGTTTGTTTTTATTGTGACAGCATAGAGTTAAATTTTAAATGAAGAAATCTGCATTTCTTTATGGCCAGCCAGATTTCTCCATGACTTTCTCTCTGCTTAATCGTGGTTTTTTTAAAAAATTAAATAGACTACAAGTGTAATTACCTCTTCTTAGAAATGCTTTTGATAATTGAACAAGGCCTTACTCATAAAATAAACAAATTCACAAGTATTAACTCATGTTTCAATCACTGTATCATAACTCTGAAATATTTATGCATAACATTTCTGTCCTGTTCAGGAAAATTTACGACACAAGATTGCTTTCTGTCAAGTCCAAAAGTTAGAATCCTAGGTTCCTAAAACGCCTCAAAGATTAGAAGCACATTATCTATAAATGGATTCCTCTCATGCTTTTAAAATATTTTTCAAATTATTTTGAACAAGCAACATGAAAAAAGTCCCCTAGTTGTGGCCTAGTTTGAACCTGGAATGACTAGTGGGGATTTATAAGGAGTAATTTATGAGATTAAGCATAAATAGTCTTTGCTTATCAACCAGTTTGCAAGCGATCATTTGAGGTTATGATGTACTTCCCCAAAGCTACTTACAGATCTGATTTTGAAGAACAGCAACCTTTCCAAAGATCATTGTAATTGCATTTTGGCAACCGGCTTGCACCTATGGCTGTTTGAGGTATCCTGTGATCACATTATTTTTGTGAGTTTTGTGGATTTCTGTTGTTTTATTTGTGATTTGCAGCAAAAAACGGCCTTTGTTCTTTTAACAGTCACTGCATTTACTTAATGACTGCCTCCCAAAAGGTAAATTAGGGCATGACTATCTGGTGACCTGCTTAACAACCACTGCAATTTACAATCATAATTCGAAGCTCAATTATGGTCACACGTCAAGGATTGCTATGTGTATTTCTAAATGATTAACTATAGGTGGTCTTCAACCATTTGTTTAGTGACATTTGAAAGTTACAAAGGCACTGAAAAAAGTAACTTATGAGTGGTTTTCACACGTCACATAACCATTGCAGCATTGCAAAGTCTGAACATTTTAAAACCTTTTCTAATAATTGTTTTTGTGCATGATCAACCAGTAGTGTGGAAAGGTATTTAACCAAGAGTTTTGCATGTGGGGGTTCAATTTCTGTCAATTGTAAACCATGGTTTATGGCTTTATGTGACATTTGAATGTAGTTTTCTTTACCTTGTTTAGTGAACCATAGCAAAGTAAGACATATTTTAAGCTCAGTGTGTGATTACTATACTGTTATTTGCACAGCAGGTTCACATCAAAACCATTTTCACACACAAATTATGTTTCCTGAACTGAATATATTAAGATAGATGGATTAGGAAATGTGTGTTTTTCTGCCTTTATTAACTAATGAAGCTGACTATAATTATTCACTTTTGTCACTTACTTTTCTTTTCTTTTTATTCCTGTTAGAATAACATACTTCATCCAAGCCTTCAATTTCAGAAAGTAATAAAAACATACACATAGTAAGAAATCTGAATTTGAACAAACAAGTTAAGATGAATTGATGTAAATGAACCTAGTTTGTAAGTATATTGCAATGATTTGCATAATTATATTTACATGAAGAAATAAGAGTTTCGTTTGCACAAAATTTGCAGTTTTTCTCATGCAAAAGAACAATTCCAGATTTGGAGTGAGTGTTTTGCTGAGAAGTTGTCTTTGTGAAAGTAGCAAAAGCAATAACACTTAGACTAATATACCATTCTGTAGTGCCTTACAGGACTCTCTGGGTGGTTTATAAATGTCAGCATATTGTCCCCAATCTGGGTCTTCATTTTACCGACTTTGGAAGGATGGAAGGCTAAGTCAACCTTGAACCAGTTAGGATCAAATTCCTGGCTGTGGGCAGAATTAGCCTTCAATACTGCATCCTAACCAGTGTGTCACATGGCCTCCTGAGTAGGATTTGTTCATGATGTCCTTAACTTCTTTTGCCAATCTCTAACTCAGCTGCTGAGAAGAGATAATGGAAGAGGATTTTCATTCTGCTTTCCACACTTTCGATTTAGCTGGATTGTTCTTATGTTCCTGTTTACTTGAATACTTTGGGTTACAACAACACCAGAGTTTGTACAACACTAATCAGAATTAATCCTGACTGCTTTGATCAACTCATCTGTTGGAAGACTTGACCAGAAAGAGTGGATTGGTCTAGAACAGGAGTGTCAAATTCACGGCCCGCAGGCCAGATGCATCACGTGGTGGCCACGCCCACCCCCATTTCAGCGAAGGGGGGAAAGTTTCAATACGTCACATGATCACAATGTGCCGATGCGAGTTTGATACCCCTGGTCTAGAATATCATTTAAAACTCCTCCCAGTTTCTAGAATATTTGGAATAGCTTTACTCTGAGGGAATTTTGGAATGATATATGGCTTTTCAGACTTACTCACTGCTATGATCAATAATTAAGGATATGTAGATACCATAATCTTAAACTCACCTATTAATTCCCAACTATAGTATTACTGGTGGCTTGCCTGGAATGTGGCACTTGAATTGTGAATTCAAAAGCAGTAGCTATTTCTGATCTATATTAATTTGAAACAAAAACTCTAGTTGCACTCTAACTGAAAATAAACAAATGCATGAAAAGTGGTTTTTTAATCACTGATTCCAGAGAATCTGAACTTACTTACTGTAGAAATCTGACAAGCCACCCTGTACTCTACAGCAATTCCGAGTGTCATACAGCTAGTCCCTGACTTACAACAATCCATTTAGTGATCATTTACAATGACACTGAAAAATGTTATTTATGCACAATTTTCATACTTACAACTATTGTAGCCTTCCTATGACCACATGACCAAAATTTGGATACCTGGAAGCTGGCATGTACTTATGATGGTTGCAAGGTCCCAAAATCATGTGATTACTTTTTGGGACCTTTTGACAAGCAAAGTCAATGGGGAAACTAGATTCACTTAACATGCATGCTACTAACTTA